GGGGGGGGGGGGGAGGGTGGATTCGTGAAAAAGCAGTCTTGTCTACCGTAGCTTTTTACGGGTCCAGCTCTTATTCCGTTTAAAAGCTGCGGATAAAGAGAATTCCATAGTTGATTGTTGCAGGCGCACGCGCACCATCGAAATCGTGGTGCCGGCCATCGGCAACGGAGGGCGCGGAGGACGGGCGCCGTCTCCGTTCCAAATCCCCGATTTGGCGGAGCTGCCGGGACAGTTCCGTGAGGCGCTAGGGGAGCCGATGGAGCAGCCGTATCAGGAGCAAGTGGACGGCAATGGGCGTCGTCACTTCGGTAATTATTAACTGCTATTAAAATGTTAATTGAAGTTTTTTACCGGCTGGTACTAGTTCCTTCTACCAGTCTTACCAGTTCCTTCTTGCTGTGTCGAAAAATTCGTAGGGTGAAGCAAGAGAGTGCTTGCTTGATGGCTGCTTCTCACTTTCAACGGGCTCATTCTGTGCGTTTCAGAATGCCACTTGCCCGGATGCGGCCAGCGACAGTTCGACACGTTGCGCGGCTGGAAATTGCACGTGTCGCTGTCACGCGACCACTACGGCAACGGTGAGTATTAATGCTTTCTTTTGCCTTTTAAACAGTTTTATTTCTTTTTACGAAATAGTTATCAATAGCCTCGCCCGCGCACTGTCGCTGTTGGCGGGCCGTTGTAAGTTGAAGCACTTTCGTGTGCTAATTTGGAGAAATGCATTAAGAATCTGCATTTGAAACGCAGCGCATCCTGATGTGTGCTCCTTTACACAGGATTCTGCCACCAGTGTTGCCGTTCTCTGGTAGTTCCGCCGGGCACAACGACGGAACAGATGCGAGCGGCCCTGCGCCGACACAAACAGGACTGGTGCCCAATGGCACCAAAGGCGGCAATGAAACAGCGCAGGGCCAGGAAGATCGAACTCGCGCTCCTGGGAAGAAGAGAGGAACTGGAAACGATATACGTACCAGGTTAGACTCTGCTCTTTGTACTTGACCGGTTCTTCTTTGAATGGTTTTTTGCATTTTCGTTCGGATATGTTTCTCCACTCTTCTTCGTGTGCGGTCCGTCTCCATTGAGTCGCGTTCTTCAGGAGAACCGGAAGCGGCCGTCCCTGAAGTCACTCCCCCGGTGCCGAGGCGCAGGAGGCACGCGGAAGAAGACCCGCGGGAGTGCGCCGTCAACCTGAAGCGCCTTAAGACCGAAGATCCAGGCAGGTTCGCACGGCTCAGGGACGAATACGAACTGTAAGAGGATGTTCGCCTGCCGATGGTGGCCGCAGTCGTCGCTCCACAACCTTCCTCGTCCGCCCAGCCTCAATCAGTCGCCCACTCCTCTCACCGCCATTGTTCCCCTAACAAATTGAAATACTTTGCAGCCGGTATTGATGAAATTTTCGCAGTTCCACGTTTGTATGGCCAACTGGTTCGTTAGGAAGTGAAAGGGAACCTCTGAGAGATAATTAGTCTAAAAGAGATCGTTTAGAAAATGATTCATTCCGCAAGAGCCACTGAGGAATTTGGAGATTGCTACGGTTTAAATTTTGACAGAAAGTTAGACTTTAAAGTTCGGATATTCATCGTTCTAACAATAGTCCCGAAGATCCTTTAATCGCCAATCTCATCGCCGCAGAACCTATTAACCCTGACTTCTTCGTTCCTGACATGACTTCTTCAGTTCTTCGTTCGCCAGTTGCTAACAG